CCTTCATGTTATGCAGTGCCATTTGTTTGTTCTTCAGTTTCAGGAAGGACCTGCAGTGGATTCTGGCGAACACCTACGTGCCATCACTCATTCAAGATGGTCCACAGTAAGTCACTGAAGTGAAGTGTCACTGTAATACCTGTCACTCAACAACTCAATCTATTTTTGGCTAAGAAGTATGTTGCATAGCACGCCAGTTTCCACAACAATTTTAAACTTCTGTGGTATTTTATTGTTTTTAGTTATTTGGTTTACCTGAATTCTTTTACGTGGGTGGGTGACATATTTGTTCAGTGTGTTATTTCTGGTAACCTTGTAGGTGTGGTCTGGTGGCTTTGTGGATGGCTGCTCACCTACGGCAGCCGCGGCTGAGTGTCGACATGGAGACGGTGGTTCAGACAGCTCTGAGCAGGGGATACACGGCTCAGGGCGAAATGTTCTCGGGTATAAAATAAATGTGTGAACTCTTCAGGTCTGTTTGTATTTGGGAGCAAAAAAATAGCACAAAAGAAACAGGTGGAGGCTGTGATTAAACATTTGGAACTTTATGACACATTTTGCAGCCGATATTTAATTTAATGTTTCACAAGCAAGTAAACATTCAGTTTCAAGCTGGTGAATTTTGATTTCTTTATGTTCTCATTAAGCTTTTTATTTTGTCAGCTGACAATATGGCCCTGCTGGCAGAAGAGGTGTGTGGCTGCAAGGCCAAGCTCCTTTCAGGGGGTCTGAGTGGTAATAATGCTGCAGCCATCATCTCACACCTGTGGGGGAGACAGCCTGTTCTCATCCCGTATCCTGGACCAAACCATGGGGAAAGGGTTGCTGTGAAGGAAAAGCAGTAGATTTGGATTTGTGATTAAAGAGAAAAGCAAAACTCCTTGACAGTTTTTACAGCTATGACGAGGATTACAACCATGAGCCGTGCCAGCGTAGTGGCCACAGAGCACACTGGGCAGTTGCTTCAGGTAAGAATGAATAGCTAACCTAACCTAAGGCAGGGTTTATTATGTAGGATTTCCCTTAAAGTGAGCCTAGTTTGACTAATCAGACCACACAGTAACAGAGTTTATTCATTCCAGGCGTTCTCCTCGGTGTGGACCAGGGGAGTGTGAGTAAAGAGCACGCTCAGCCTGATCCCTCTCTGCCGTGGCTCTACCTCGCCGCCGACAGCAGCTCATCTTGTCCTGCCGGCAGCACGGCACTCAGAGATGTTTACATCCTCGCTAAGCAAGGTAAAAGCTTGCGCTACCAGCTGTGGAGTTTGGACACTGTAGCTCAGAGCAATGAGCAGCTGAGGATGATGGACCCTCAGAGAGCCAGTGATGGCACCAAGTATGTGGTTCCCAAAGGAGGGGTGGAGGCCGGTCTGGCTGGAAAGGCGGTGATGCTCCACACAAGGTCCACACAGTGAAGCAGACACACATTATGTATGTAATTAAAAGGGCTTTAAAGTAAGGGTTATCAGGGAGAAGCCACGCCCACATGTTCAGCCATGCTCTGGTCAGTTTTTGTAAAATGTGTAGTCGTCTTATAATTTTCCACTAACAAGGATTGTGTCAGTTTAACTGTAAAAGCTATATATATATATTTTTTTTAGAATATCCACAATTTATTTGGAGAGGAACAGTGTTTATGTAATTTTTGCCTGTTACACCACCTTAATGGATTTTAAAATAAACAGTTAAGGAGACAGGCCGTGTAATTTCTCTGGAGGAATTTGTTTGGAACATTTATTTTTTCGAACCAAGCTCAATCTTTCCAATTGAATCAATCAGATCACTGCTTTTGGCAAAAAGCATGCTCATAGCACAGTACCGAATACGCAATGATATACTTAATAGTAACGTAATACTATTTTACGTCAGATGCACAGCTGGA